CCAGATAAACTGCTTGGCTGGGTTCCCTCCCCAGCCTGGCCTCACCTCTGCCATCTTTTTGTCATAGTCCTGCATGTAGGCGTCCACCTCGGCCTTGAGCTCCTCCGGATCCACGACTGAGGCCGCATAGCTCTCGATCCACTCTGAGACAGAGAAGAAGTCAGCAGCAGCCTCTCTCAGAAGCCAGCCCTAGCGCAATGCCTGTGGGCAGCTCTAGACAGAACTGCTGTGGAGATGGACAGTCTGCTCCCGTTTCTGCTCAGCCTCCCCACTGTCATCCTGCGGACAGCTGGTGCCTGTTACCGAGTCTGACTTCCACCCTGAGGGCAGGACATGGCCAGTTTCTCTGAATCTACGTGATACTGAAGAGACAGCGGGGAAAAAATACCCCTTTACTGCACCAAGCAATCCCTTTCTCCCACTGGACCTGACCACAACCACCAGTACAAGATTGCGACCTTGTGAATGATAAAAGCAGGACCGCGAGACACGGGACATCTCCCGGCTTAGTACAAACCGGTGAGAATGAGTCTGGGTCACACAGGTAAGATTCAGTGAGGAACGGGTATCGTTTTTCCCTGGCACTAGCTAGAAGGAAGATAGTGAGGGCTGACTTACTGCTAACGCCGGTTTTCACAGGGTGACTCTCTGTTGATATCAGCAAGGGACCTTCCCGTGACAGGGCCTTGGCTGCCTGGACACCAGCTGGTTTCCTGAACACCACGTATGCTACGTGAAACCCCTAGAAGAAAGAGACACCTAGGCCAGTCAAACAGACGAGGGAAACTGGTGACACAGCAAGGAGCTGCAGTACAAATAAAATAAAAATCAAACCAGAGGTTACAGTAGGATAATGAAAAAAAAAAGTAAACTTAAATAATTACTTATGTCACCCAACACCCCCAAATAGTTTCCTGTATCTCAAGGACTTGGGGTACTGGTGGATGAAAAGCTGGACATGAGCCGGCAGTGTGCGCTGGCAGCCCAGAAAGTCAACCGTATCCTGGGCTGTATCAGGAGAAGTGTGGCCAGCAGGTCGAGGG